CTTTTAAACAGGCTTCTGCAGGGCTTTTGGAAATACCTCGAAATCAGGAAATTCCACTCCCCTGGTTTCCAAAACGATCACTACATTTACTCTCGCGTTTCACTCCTGCCTTTACGGCAAGGAGGAGGATGCTGTGCACCTGCCCGCCTCGGGAGCCGCTCCCCGGCGCTCGCTGCCGCGGGAGCCGCCGGCCCCGAGCTGCGGCTGCCGCCCGGCCCCGCTCCCCCCGCCGCGGGCAGCCTCCTCCTCTCACCGCGGCACCGAGGTCTGCTCTTGCCCGTACGGAGCAGAGAAGCACTCCTGGGCTTGTCGGTGTTCCCAGGGAGACTGGGATAATAGGGCTGACGGTGGTTCTAATGAGGGGCAGTGCCACCCCTCTGGTCCGTGTCACCAGCTGAGCCGGTATAAAAGAAAGAGAGGATGCTGACTCTCTGTAGGGAGCTGCTGGTGTGCCCTCTCCTGGCTGCTGAGGCAGACAAGCTGTTTGGCACTCATTATCTCTCTGCTAACTTTTAATTCCAGCCTGGGCAGGGAATCGTCACAATTCCAGCTAAAAAGTACTTCTGCTGGCAGGGAGTAGTCATGAATTTGTCTCACCTAAACAACAGAGCTGAGAGCCGCTTTAAAGTATCAGAGGTGCATGAATTGGAGACAGTGGGGAAGAATGCTTGGGATAATCCTGTTTACAATGGCTCTCCCTCTACCTCCTTGAAAATTCAAACCATCTACAACCCCAAGTCTGTCCTGGAGAATCCCTACGAGAATTTTGAAGAGGTTGGGGATTCACTGCCCTACCAGGAAGAACAGAGCAAAGCTGTGAATGGGAAGACAAGTCCTTTCCTCAAGTGCTGCTTCTACATCTTCAGAGGCATCCGAGGTAAATCTCCAATATCCCATTAGAAGGGACTTATTAGCCCTCAGAGCAATGGTGAGGGGAGGAAGAGAAGGGATGCAGAAGGCAGAGGTTTCTATGAGGTTTCTATGTAGCCCAGGGATCTGTTCAACATGCAGTAGCACTACACCAGAGATCATCTTTGGCTGACCTGAAAGGAGCGTCCATGGTCTGTGTGCCTTGCTACAGCTTCATGATCTGTCCTGTTACCTTTAGTACAAGGTAAGAGACTTAGTGCTGTGCTCAAGGTCATGCAGTGAATCTGTTGGCAGAGCTCAGGTGCTCTGAATCTCCAGGAGTCATCACTGTGGTGGTGAGATTATTCTGTCTTTGTGTGCATTTTCTAGATAGAATGGTACTGGCCCCTGTGCTACAGTAACATAAGAACTGATAGACCTATCTACCAGAAAAAATCTAGCACTGTCAGGACTGAAATGTAGGGGATTACAGCAATGTATCAAATACTGCTTTGCTTGAAGATAGCTGAAAGAGGTGCTCTTTCCCAGTTTAAAAGACAAAGGGGAATGAAATATTATGTAGGCTTATTCAGAGGCAAACAAAACCCGGGGGCAAGATAAGTCTCCTGTCAGAATACAGTCCTGTGTAAGGGCATTATTTGAACAGTTTCTTATAGAAGGCACAAAATCCCAATATTTTAAAAACAGGAAAGATAAAGCAAAGAAAAAAAAATCTTGACAATGTGTCTTTTTTTCCTCACTTGGAAGACAAGAACCTTTCTCAGAGCCATACCCTCTAACAGTACAAGTGAGTGAATAACAGTATAGCTTGGTCCTGAACTGCACAGCCCCCCTGTGAGCAATACTTTTGTCATTGCCATTACAGTCTAACACTACTAATTCACATAGAATTCAGAGCAGAGACTTTAGAGATTTCTCCTGGCCAAGGAACAGTGCTGCGTGGGTTTGGTAGCTAATTACAGATTACTCGTAGGCAGTGTATAATTTACCTGGTTTATTCTGAAATGCTTTTTCTAAGCATTGTTTGAGGCTTGAAATGGAAAGACATATCCATATTTTAACATCAAATTTCTGTTTATGAGATGCCTGAGTTGAATTTGGAGCATGCAAATGATGATAACCATCAGGATACTGCATCATTTTCTTCTTCTGACTGTTGCAGCAGTTTGTCCTGACACTAAGGGTGATAAATAGGGCTGTAGGAAATACCAAAGCTGGGAATCCAAAGGCCTCTTTGAGCCTCACAGAAGTGGGGACATTTTCCTTGAAGAATTTTCCTCCTTCCTTTGCATCTTTACTAGGCACTCATCATTTTTCATTGCCTCTCCATTGCTGGCTTTCCCCCTTCCCTTTCCATTTAATCATCTTGGCGTCTCACATGGAAAATAGAAGTAGTACATATAAGTCAGACAATGAGAGTTTGAGAGGTTGGGTTTTTTGCTTGAAAACCATTTTTTTGGGGATTGCGTGTCCATAGCTAGTGGTAATAATTGGATTATTAAGCTTTTTTCTTGTCCTCATCAGTTACTGTGCTGGGTTAGTAGTGAGTAGCTGCTGCTCCTAGTGCCACTGCTCAGGATGTTCCTCTCTAAGCAGTGTCCAAGCAGCTCTGGGTCCTGCCTGCCTCCTCTGCTGTTTCATGGCCAGCCCATGGGCACACTTTGCTGGGTATCTGGGTGTATGGTGGTTGATGAGGAATACCCAGCTTCCCATTGCCTTTGGAAGAGGGTCTCCAGCTGTACCTGAGACTGTGAGCTAGTCACTCACCTGGGTCACGAGTCTGGTATAAAAACACACTCAGAAGATAATGCAGGTGTTGCCAGTAATTCTTATCAGTCACTTGTTATTATCAGGAAGGTGGGACTTATTCATGAATTGCATTCACAGCCTGTTTTCTGGATTCTGTTGTTTTTTCTTTGCTCAGCCATGTGAGTGCTGGATGGTCATTCAAGGTGCCATAAGGAAGACTGGATAACTTCTAGCCTTGAGTCCTTCTACTCCAAATGTCATATCCAAAATAGCTGCATGCCCAAGGGGGTAGGTGGTGCCATAGGGAGACACAGATGGGGACATGCTTCATGTATGAGGTGATAGATTTCCCTGGAATGTTTCCTAAAGACATAGCTGAAAATAAACCTCAGCTGATACAGTATTGCAACTATTGCATGCCCTCTGAAAGGACTGGACCAGCCTCATGATCCTCCAGGTATCATTTTAGGCAAATCTCTGAACCCAGTTCTCAAGGATATTTTGAGTCTCCTCCTTGCATTTAGGTGTTCCTGAGTGCACTTCTGCTCTCAAAGTAAAGAAGGTCTGTGCATTTGCTCCAAACATATGGATAAGTAGGGGTTCCCTGCTCATGGGAAAAAAAATCCAAAGAAACCTGTTACTGTGGTGTAATCATATCTAAGGATGAAGGCTGTAATTTAAAAGTGACCTGAAGAGATGGGAAAAATATTTGCCCATGTTTTTCTTCATTGTGAAGATTCCTGTAGATCATGTGGTACTTTCTCCTCTAAAGGAGTTCATCCAGATCATCTCCAGGCTGTCATTTCTGTTGCTGGTCTGGACTGTCCAGAACAGGCTACTGGTTTGTCTGCCCAGATGTGACAGCAGATGCTGTGAGTCCCTATGGTAGTTAATGGTGCAAAAAACTCTCAAATCTCTTGAGATGCCAAAGAGCTAGCAAAATGACAGGATAAATGCAGACCATTGGAACAATTCTGCTTGCTCCAGACAAAAAAGAAGTTTGTCATCTGCCAGAGATGACTTCAGATGTGGGGCCTTTGATCAGCTTTGATCCAGGTCTGCAGGAAGATGGTTGTTGCATCCTACTGGGGATAGGAATCAGGGCTGAGCTCTCTAGGAGCTGCAGAAAGCAGCAAGACTATGGCAATTATTGACAAGGCTTTCATCACTAGGCTTTCAATTGAAAGTTCTTGTGCCTTTCAACTTCAGGAGCATTCCAGAAATCACAACAAAAAGCCATTACAAAAAGAACAAACAAACACGCTAATGGTATTAGGTGGTTCATCAAACACAAAATATCAAGGCTCCTTTTAAAGGAAGTATTTCTCTCTTATTGATTGACAATCCTGGTGACATTTAATGAGTTGTGTGAAGAAATAGGATCTTTAGCTGGTGCAACTGGTGTATTGGATTCAGCTAAACTCCATTGTTAGATGTTCTGAAGATAATTTGGCTCTAAATGTAATGCTGAAAATACTGAGTTGGGTTATTTGATTGAGTTTTATGACTAAGAAGAAAACTGCAAGAGTTTTTAGGTGAGCAAGAGACAAATATTTGGGGCCTATTGGTTCCTTATACACTAAAAGGAGTAATAGTTGTAAAGCTAACACGAGATGCAGTTCTGCAATGAAAGACCTCTCAGAAGCTCAGCTGTTGGCACATGGCTGACTGAGATGAAATATTACGGTTTCAAGAGCATTTGGGACAAAGACTGAACTTCTGCAAAGATTAAGCTGGAAAACAGTCAGGAAAAGATCAGGCTATAATGAACAGAAAACAGAAGAAATATAAAACTAAATAGTGATTTAGCAAGAAAAAAGCCAATATATTTCAGTGTTGGTTAGCTACAAATCTTTTATTCATGCTGGAATGGTTCTTCTTAGGGGTATTTAGCAAATTTTTATAGGTCAAGTTTTGAAATGAAGAGTGGCTTGGTCTTGAAAAGTCACAAAACTTCAACTCCTAACAGTGCTTTTTTGCAACAGGCCTACAGCTCCTTACATGGCCCTTGAGAATGGCCACAAAATCTCTACAGTCCCTTCTTTATACCAAACAGGTCTGTGGGGCACTACGCTGACTGAGAATACGGCTGAGAACAGGGAGCTTTACGTGAAGACCACCCTGCGAGAGCTGCTGGTCTATGTTATGTTCTTGGTGGACATCTGTCTCTGTGAGTAGCTGTCATATCTCATAGGCACCATTTCTGTGTGCAGTGTGAGGGGAATAATGTGAGATTTTATTACTTGTCTTCCTTGCTCTGCTGTAAATGTTACATTTATTGTATGGGTGCTCACAGCAGCAAGAAGTTGTCAATAACCTACAGAATTGATGCTGGACAGAGAAGTAAAATTACTGGCCAATGCTAACTGATGTTGGTTAGACTTCAGCAGTATTTTCTGATTGGCATTATCAGTTCTAGCCATTGACTCCACAGCCCTAGGAGAATCTGCCCAAGGTCTTTTCTCAGTTTCACAGGAAATGCTCAACACCTGGAGAGAAGCTCTAGAAACTTCCTGGTAGCAAACACACAATTCAGGGAGATTTTCCCCTCTGAGACTGGATGGGTGGCTGAGGTGATAAAGCAGATGGCAGCTCACCCTGTTGTTCTTGAGTGAATATAATGTGTCCCTGTACTGAATGCTAATGCTAATATGGACTTTGTGTCAGTAAGACAATGGCTGTTTGGTTTTGCAAAGGTTCATTTGTTATCACAAGTGAGCACCTGTGGCATGGGGCATTGAAGAGGGTTATATTTCATGGACCTTATGGCAGGAGAGATGGACAGACAATACCACCCTAAGTTGTTATCATGCTGGCCCAGGGAGAGAGTGCTCCAGTCACTCTTCCTAAAGAACCAAGACACGCACACAGATGTACGTGTTGTCACACACTGACTCATGCAGGAGGTGTGGGGGGTTGTGTCTTGAGTGTCAGTTGCTTTATTTTCCTGGTGTCCTTTCAAGAGTCAGACATGTTCTTAGTGATCACCATGATGGAAGTTTTTCTGAAGGAAGGGGCACTGGAGAGTTGAAACAATGTGTTTGTGGAAGTCAGAGCCTGCTCCTCCTTGGGTTTCTTGGTAAATGAAAACTTAGCTGGAGCTTTTCACTTGGGAAAATAGGGTGGTCTTCATGACTTCACATCAGAAATTCAAAATATAGGTCATGGACTTTGTTCTGAGAAATAAAATTTCCCTCAGAAATTCTGTCTGGGATCAAAAGTTGTTATCCAGAATGTTCAGTTGTATCCTTCAATGGTCTTCTCTTACTACTTAACTCTTATAGCCAGTCAGTCTGACTGTTTAAACTCTCCAACACATGGTAGATAAGTCTGTAAATCCCTAAGAAAGCAGAAAGCCCTAAGTTTTATTCTCCTGTGCCTTGTTCAGCTTACCTGTGAAAATATAAAGTACATAGAAAGTGAATATCTAAATACGGTTATATCAGGCTCCAATATTCAGGTATAAGAAAGGACCCTCCTCTTGTTCTCTTAGTGACATATGGAATGACAAGTTCCAATGCCTATTACTACACCAAAGTGATGTCTGAGCTCTTCCTGCAGACCTCTACAGATGGCCGTATCTCCTTCCAGTCCATTGGCAGCATGGCTGACTTCTGGGTGGTGAGTACAAATCTGGCCTGCCATGGTGAACCCTGAAACTCAGCTAGACTGGGATATTCAGTTCCCTGAAATCTAGTGATTCCAGCAAGATATTTTGCTGCCACAAGGTTTTGCCAGCTACTAGCAATAGTCACAATAACATTTGCATGCAAAATATTACTGATTTAAAGTATAGTTTATCCCTGAGCACTATGTCCAGAATACTGGCTAGGCTAACTTTTGTGTGTGCCCGGAAGAATCCATTTCCCAGTAAAACAGGTGGGACATAACAAAATAATTTTGATGATACAAGCATCAGGTCATTGCACAGGTAGGAAGTACTGGCCTAGAGAAGCCAAGGAATTTTACTTCAGGTTTTCTTGTGACAAAAGTGCCTTTGAATCCTAGAGTTCAATGTCTTCAAGCTGGTGCCTTAGTAATAGCCTATGTCCATCTTCATGACACTTTAAGAACATCAAAATTAACCTGCCTGTAATTAATGACTGGGCTTGTCTAATCTATAGATTCTTTAGGAAGAAGATGGATTAAAATTTGCAGTGACTTTTATCAAAGAGAATAAAGGGGACAAACACCTGGGGTCTAACATATTTCTGTAAAAGAATGGGTGAAAGAATAATAAGAGCCTCAGTGAAGAACATTGAGTTATTGCAACCACTTATCTCTGACAGCCAGAGGTTATTTGTCAATTAGAGTTGCCTTTTCCTGTCATATTAAAACACTCCAGCAAACAATGGCACTACTGTTTCTCCACCACTGTTTCCAGGACACTGGCACACACGCTTTTCATCATTCGCAACTTGTGCCAAGGCAATTCCTTGGGACTTATGCTGGCTGAAGTAGGAGACACAATGAGACTTGTAGGGCTTTTGTCTCATCATTATGCACAGAAGGTGCCACAGACACATTACAGGCCTGTGAAAAAGCAATGATGATCCTGCTACCCAGCATCCCTCTTCTACCACCAGCCCTGGTTTTTCATCTCCTTAGCATACATTGCAACACAAACTTCTACTATTTTCCATCTTGGTGACTCGAGAGGGATGGATCAGGTCTCACTACCCCAATCCCAGACTAAGAAAATTCTCTGATGTGTGAGCTACAAGAGAGTTGCTCTCCTCTGCCTCCTCTGCAGTATGCACAAGGTCCCCTGCTGGATAACCTTTACTGGACAAAGTGGTACAACAACGAGTCCCTGGCAGCACACAGCACCCAGTCATACATCTACTATGAGAACCTGCTGCTGGGTGTCCCACGCATGAGACAGCTGAAGGTGAAGAACAACTCCTGTGTGGTCCATGATGACTTCAAGGAGGAAATCTCGGGCTGCTATGATGTATACTCTGAAGACAAGGAGGAAAGGGTCTCCTTTGGGCTCATCAATGGAACGGCGTAAGTACATCTAATCCAAATTAGTCTCTTCTAGTTCAAATAAGAACTGCTGAGCTGCAGGATGCTGGGGGTGAGTTTCTCACTTAAGGCTGTAATTCCCCTTGCAGTCAGAGGCAGAAAGTCCTTTTTGTCTATCAATAAGGTCTAGTGTCTCTTTGTGGGGAAGCACTATGGAATGAGTGGTACAACAGAATGAGTTTTCATGTTAGCAAAGCCATGAAAAAAATCCAGTGGTGATACAGGAAGAAATTGTTGCCTATTTTTAAGAGAGTGAGGATAAATAAAGACCTTCACAGCCAGATCCATCAAATGGCAAGCTGGCATTTAGCTGGCAAGTTGCTATTTGCTTTCTTCTGGGATTTCAGGAGCCAGAGAAAAGGGAGTGCATCCCTTTCATCTTGATAACTTGTTTCTCTATAGTACTGTGAGGTAGCTGCAGTTTAATATCTCTGCTCACTGCACAAGTACAAGAGCATTCTAAGCAGATGGTTGTGTGTGATGTGGTAGAAAGTAAGAGAGTAGATCCTGAGAATAACCCCCATGAAAACAAGAGTGATATAGCCAACAGACCTCAGCATTTCCCCTCCATAGTATTGCAGATAATGTTGTGTCACTGCTGGGAAGCACTAAATCAGAAAACCAACCATAATGGTTACCAATGTATAGGATCTTCAATTGAGAACTGCTCTGCCCCTTGAAGATTTAATTTTTCCAGGACACGAGGCCATATTCAAGCCTGGGCAGGTGAAGCCTTTCTTTGTGCCTTGTCTGTTGCAGGTGGAGGTACCATTCTGAGGAGGAGCTAGGTGGTTCATCTCACTGGGGAAGACTAACCAGTTACAGTGGGGGAGGATACTACATAGACTTCAAGATGACCAGAGAAGAGAGTGCTGAAGCCCTGCAGGTCTTGAAGGAGAAACTGTGGCTGGATCGGGGAACACGAGTTGTCTTTATTGATTTCTCTGTGTATAATGCAAATATCAATCTGTTCTGTGTTCTGAGGTAAGCTGAGTCCTGATGAAAATTCTTCAGCCTCTTGCATCTTCCTCAATGCCTCAATTTATTTCTTAAAATGCAAGTATTTTATTATGATCCACCAGTGGGATGGTGACCAACCCCCCCTCTCCCCCCCCCCCCCACACACACACTACTACTGAGTGATGTCAGTAGAAATTGTATGGTTTAGTGAGAAGTCTTGGTCTTCCTGAAATAAGCAGTCATACTTCTTGTGACTTTTCACCCTTTCCTATCACAGGCAGTGAAGCAGCAGAGGTATGGCTCCATAAAAACATACACAATGCTTCCACTCATGGTCCGGTGGATAGCTCATGCTCAAGTTCAATGCCTCTCAAAAAAATCTCTGGGCTTCCATCCTCTAGTTTGAAATTGTTTCCTTGTCCCCTTCAAGGTTAGTGGTTGAGTTTCCAGCCACTGGTGGTGCTGTTCCCTCCTGGCAAATCCGGACAGTGAAGCTTATACGCTATGTCAGCGCATGGGACTTCTTCATTGTGGCCTGTGAAATTGTATTCTGTGTCTTCATCTTCTACTATGTGGTGGAAGAGGCTTTGGAGCTCCGTATCCACAAGTTTCAGTACTTCGCCAGCATCTGGAACATTCTGGATGTGGTTGTCATTCTGGTGAGGATCCTTGCGTACTTTTTTGGGGGGCAGGAATAGCAGAGATGTGTAAGAGCCAAAATAAATGAAGGAATGTAGAAATTAGTCTAGATAGACAAGAACTGACACGTGTTTTGCTCTAATACTTAAATGAACAGCTCTTGTGTCTGGAAGAACTGCTAGAAGAAAGTGCTTTCTTAGAGATGTCCAAGAAACTGTGAAGTCTCTATCATTCAGCACATCAAGACCATACTTTCATAGCCCACCACTAGACTGTAGCTCTGAATTAGGACTGCAATGAGTTCTGTGACATTTTAATTTCCATGGAAAGCATAGGAACAGTGACCACTGCAGACTATTCCTCTTCCTCTTTGCAGCTCTCCATTGTTGCCATTGGGTTTCACATCTTTCGCACCACTGAGGTGAACAGGCTGCTGGGAGAGTTGCTGGAACACCCCAACACCTACGCAGACTTTGAATTCCTGGCATTCTGGCAGACACAGTACAACAATATGAATGCAGTCAACTTATTTTTTGCCTGGATCAAGGTACTGTAGGGGATCTGGGAGGTGCCAGGTTTCCAGTCAGGCCTCTCCTTCTAGATAGCTTAAGGGTTTTCTCTTCCATCCCTCTGAGTAAATGAGTGTAATAGCTATAGAACAGACTTTTCCTCAAAGTCACATGCTCTGTTCTGCAGTAAATCTGGGCAACTTTTCATCCTGCATTCTGAGGTCAGTTATTTAGAGGTAACAGTCAGGGATATGAGCTCAGACACTGTGGTGTAAAAGTGGTTTTAGAAAATGCTGAGTACCATGTAACTTTGTCCATCCTATACTATTTTGGTATTCTTGAGGATAATCTTGCAAACCATGTATTTTTTTCATGCTGGTCACTCAAGAGCTGGAAATTACTCATCTGCTGACATGGACTTTGCATTTCAACTAAAGCATCTTGGTGTGGCAGAAAGCCACCAAGGGGCTCCTCATCAGCCTTAAGAGATTGGGCCTTCTAGCAGTCCCTGTTTATATTTTCCTCTGACAAAGGAATCAAAGTCATATGTTTATGAGCCCAGAGAAGGATGGTGGTACACCTGGGATAAATGTCCTGAAGACTAAGCCACCACTCCCTACCCACCTTTCTCTTCAGTACTTTGGTCGTGTAGAGAACCTCTTGTCTTAGTAAGCATGTGCATGCATGAGAGAGCCTGATCTAGCTGATGGTTTGGCCTAACTTTGTTCCCATTCTTCCATCCTGCAGATATTCAAGTACATTAGCTTTAACAAAACAATGACCCAGCTCTCCTCCACGCTGGCACGTTGTGCCAAGGACATCCTGGGCTTTGCCATTATGTTCTTCATTGTCTTCTTTGCCTATGCCCAGCTGGGTTACCTTCTTTTTGGGACCCAAGTGGAAAACTTCAGTACCTTTGTTAAATGCATGTAAGTGTGTAAGTTGGTACCATGTTTCCATGATTTATCAAAATAATTTAAACTGGTTTCTACCCTTCTCCCCAGTTGCAAATCTCAATGACAATCAGACACCTGTTGTATCTCATTTTAATAAAGTCACAATGGTTGATAAGTTGCTCACAGCCTTCTCGTTGCGACATCTTTAAGGATAAAGGAACACAGTAAGAAAACTGAGGGCTACAGGCAGATTTCTGTTTGTCTGGTGTTTTATCAGTGAGGACAAGATATATGGTGGATATTGGTAAGGATATATATTTCCATAGAAGTCCCACAGATACTGATCAATATATCTGAGATGGAGGATGACCAGTGTGTGGATGAGCACACACAGAAGGGAATGCTGGGGAAGTGAGTTAAAATCCCATCTCAGACAGTCCTGGAGTCCATGGGCCTGTTCAAGTAATGTGTGATGTTAATGGAAGTATCTGCCACAGCAATGGTTTTCAGCTTGTGTCCCACAGACCTCTGGGCATCCAGGTCTAGCCTCTGAAGGGTCTACAAGAGAAAACAGAGATAAGGAGGATTAGGATCAATACACTTCAACTTCCATCATTATAGGGGCTATGAACTACAAAAGGTTGAAGAGCACTGTCCAGTTCTAACACCTCTCCAGAGTCTCACAAAAAGAGATGGCTTTGTTGAGTCAAATAGCTTTAATCAGGGAAAATTCTGGTTGTTTTGTTTTTGACTCCTATTTATACCAAAACACACTTTGGACAATCTGAATTTGTGTGGAAACCATGTTCTATTTTCCTCTTGCTCTAACCAGATCAGCTTGCTTCACCCCTGAAATACTACAGATGCATTCAACTTGTCACTCTGGAGAGACCTAGACCCTGCTCTGGTTTGTGCCTGTGCCCATCTGGGCTGCAGGAATGTTCATGTTCACCTCAGGACTGTTTGTGTGTGCCTTTGTGTGACCCTGTGCTCTTTCTTTCCCCCAGTTTCACCCAGTTTCGGATCATTCTCGGTGATTTTGACTACAATTCCATTGACAATGCCAATAGAGTCCTTGGGCCTATTTACTTTGTCACCTACGTGTTCTTTGTTTTCTTTGTGCTTCTGGTAAGCAACAACATCCTCCTTGTCCCTGTAATGAAAGCAGTGTTTGAGAGACCCCTCCTGACAATCCCTGGGCTACATGCAAATGCTCAGGAAAGGAATTTCTGTTACAATAGCTTTGCAGTGCAAATAGGCCACAGTAGGCAGAGAGTGTGTTACTACAACTGGGGATTTGATCATAGGGTGATTAAGGGCCAACATCTGTTAAAGTGAAGACTGAAACTGACTGGCTTCCTAGGCAATGGATGCAGAGGGATGCTCATAATAAACACCCACTGTCAGGAGTCCATATGTAACCTAAGAGTTTGCAAGAGAAGCTACCAAAGGTAGTATTTGAGGTGGGAACAAATGTACTTTCAGCTACTGCTTTAATTGCAAAAACTTTAGAAAACATGGTGTGGCTGAAATAGGCCTTTTCTTGACCCTCTTTAATTTGCCCAAGAGATACCCCATAGGGAAACAACTCCTTGTTTAACTAAGTATTGCACATCTGTGCCTGTTTCTTGGTGCTTTAGGTGCTGGAGCAGGCAAGATGCCTCATGCATATTTATCTCACTTCTTCCCCTTTTCCTAGAACATGTTTCTGGCCATCATCAATGACACCTACTCAGAAGTCAAGGAGGAGCTGTCGAGCCAGAAGGATGAGCTGCAACTCTCTGACATCTTGAAGCAGGTGATGCATAGTGAAAGCTGTGCTACTTTCTAGCCAAATCATGAAGGATTTTTTTAAAAGTCCCTGACCCAAGTAGAATTTACTAGAGAGAAACAGTAGTTGCCAACTCCAGATCCCCCTTCTTTGTGTGCACAAGAGTCAAATTTCCTTTCTGAGATAAATTGAGGTCACAGACCCTTTGGCAATGTGAAGATGACAAAGCAGGTTTTGGGGGAATCCTGTTTCTTGATGTAGTGTCTCTGAGAGACTTTCTTCCCAGTATAGTCTCTAGGCAAAGCTCTTTCAGTCCTTCATAAAATGTACTTTGATTGATAACATGGCAAGTCCTGTTGTACTAAGTTGAGCCTGTTACTGTGGCACAATTTTAGAAGGTTAAATCCGTCTTTCCCATGGGCAAATTCCAGAAAAGTTCCTGCAAGGTCACAGTTCTGCTGTGGGACCAATATTCTAAAAGGAATAGTATTTGAGACATTATCTCAAACAGCTGATGTGTTGGGAAATCAGATAAAGGAAGAACTGGGGCGAGAAAAGCAGAGGGTTAGCGTGTTAGTGTCACTCTGAAGGTGTGATTCTAGTTTAGAGATGAGGTTCATACAGCACTGCTTTATTTTTTGCTTGTGGAAAGCTTGAAAACTCCTGCTATTACTTAGCATATGCTCACTTGTATCATATTGCCCACTCTGCTCTACTTTTCACTGTTCTGTGTGCATGATTCCGTGTCTGTATCTTTGGTAACAGAGCTACAACCGGACACTCATGAGGCTGAAGCTGAAGAAGGAGCGGATTTCTGATGTGCAGAAAGCCCTGCAGAATGGAACAAAGCAACTAGACTTTGAAGACTTCAAGAACAGCTTGAAGGAGTAAGTGAGTCAGTTTGAGGGATGTCTACTTAGTCCTTTCTCTTAGTAATACAGGTAATTTAAATTTTCTGCTTTTCAAGACAAGGAGAGCAATTTGCTTTGATCTGGGCAATTTAAGATTTAAAAATTTTATTTTTCCTCAAAATTTTAATTTCCTGTTCTAAATAGGTTTGTGTAACTATCTCTTGCCCATTTGGGATGTTTAGGTTTATTACTGGCAGGAGGAAACAGTACACTGATTTCAAAATTCCCACTCTGTTACAGCTTAACAGTATGATTCTATGCTTTGAGCTTTCTCTTTCTATTCTTTTGCAGACTGGGCCATGCAGACCATGAGATCACAGCAGCTTTCTCCAGATTTGACAAAGATGGCAACCACATCCTTGATGAAGAGGAGCAACAGCAGATGAAGAGTGACCTAGAGGCAAAAAGGGTAAAAAAATGGGGCAAGAAAAAAAAATCTTCTGTCTGGTAGATATACTCCAAAGTGAATCTTTGGTTTTATGGTATAAACTAAGCAGGTAATAAAATATAGTTCCAACTCTACCTGCATGCAGCTGAGTGTATTGTTGCCTGTGAAGCTCTGTGTCATTGACAGTAAAGCCAACCACAGAGTTATTATCCATATTTGCAGCAGTTTATTTGTTTTCCAGGTTGCTCTGAATACAGAGATTGAAAATCTAGGGAAATCCTATGGTGATAACAATCTGGATGAGAATCTGACCTACATGGAAGCAAGGAATAACCACACCAATAAGGCCACCTGGGTCTCCAAAGAAGAGTTCCAAGTGTATGTTTGTGCCCTCAGTAGTTTAAACACCCTGTGAATGAGGGGTCCCATTTCCTGCTGCTTCCTTCCCCTTCACTCTTTACAGTGGTGCTGAGCAGTTTCAGTAAGGTCTCGTCCCTTTTATCTTGCACATGTAAGCAGGTCAGGAGATAACTGGGACTGTTCTAATAATGTTGTTTACTTGTTCCTGTAAAAGACTGAGTTAAGAAATTTTGCTTTCTGCCTCTTGAATGACCTCTGCATCTATCATCTAGCCACAAGCAATATGCTGTCATGTTTCAGGTCAGAAAGTGGCCCAAACTGGGCCAAGGAAAGTTGATACCTTTACAGAAGGTCTTGTAGCAATAAATATCCTTGATTTATAGCCTAGTTGGTCTTTATCCTTCAGGTCCAAGAATAACACTTGGCCATTTCCTCCATAGGAGGAGCACAGGATAAACACAGCAGAGTGAATCAGTATATCTTGATTCTGCTACAGAGAAACACTGAGCAAACCACATAGAACCATATCAAAGGAGAGGCAGGTGCAATATTTAATAATGGAATTATGCTGTGTCTAGGCTGGGATCCATCCTAAGCAAAACCACTGATTACAGATGAAAACACAGTGTAGCAGGGAGTTATGTCACTAGCTGGTGACATAATCAGTGATCTGGGAGCATTCACTTCTATTTGAGGTTTCTGGAATGTCTGCAGCAAATCCCTTTACTCATCACAAGAAAAAGCTTACAAATGCTCTCCATGTTTCCCTCAGCCTCCTGCATCGTGTGCTGCAGCTGGAACAGTCCATAAACAGTATTGGCTCCAAGATTGATGCAGTGGTGAACAAGCTCGATGTACCAGAAAGAAAAGAGCTGAAGAGGAAGGATCTGTTGGGCAAACCACTGGGTGATGTTCTTAAGGTTGGTTGCCCTCCACCATGTGTTTGAACCAGCTTCAGATCAGGTGACTAGCTCTGCTGGGAGAAAGAGCCTGGTATCATCTTTGCTTTTCCACTCTTTATTGACTTAAGATAAAAAGGCTTGTGCACGGTGTATGATCAATCCTTTTCTGTTTAAGCAAAATGACATAAAGCCTCTTGTTTTCATTTCCCCACAGTTAACCCTAATACCTTTAAACACACCTTCTGGCTCCTTTGAGGCCAACCTCAGCCCTGTGGCAGTGGATAAAATTTGCCTGTCTTCAGTTGCTTTCTAACTGTTCATCCTCAGACATTAAAATGATCGAACTGTCCTTTCCAGCAAGAGCAGCTCATGGCTGTTGTGGACTGTGATCTTAACATCTTGCCTGTGGATTATTTATCACACGTGTGATGGAAGATTGGTCAGCTGTGTGCTTACAGCATATCACTCCAGAATTGTGACTTTTGCCAAAGAGTGCCCATTTTGCGTCAGGCACTGTATTTTGGATTTTCAGTTTTAAAGTCAAAGGCAGCAAGGCATGTGGGAGCCATGTCACTACTCCATGGTTTTGTGGCTTCAATAATGGAAATAGCCAAACAGAAGAAATTGACCTAACAGAGTTAAAAAGTCTCTCTTTTGCAGAGTAGTCTTGTGATCCCTTCACATCTGGAAGAGTGTTTTGTGAGGTCCTACTCAAGTGAACATACCCAAAATCTTATGCAAGTGTTTGTTTGCATATTTGCTGTGCCACAGCATTTCTGTGAATGTGCTTATAAAGGATGAAAAGGGATGAATCTCTCCTTGTTTGTCTAAAGTTTGAATGTGTATTCATCAGTGTATTGCAGCAGTGATCTTTAATAGGCAGGCTTGTTCTAATTTCTGAGAGAATGTGGGAAGATATTTTAGTACCATACACATCCTTGCCTTTCCCCTACAGTGTTGCTAGACTTCTTGGTAGCTTGCTGACATTGCAGGTCACACTTTCTTCTTGTTGACAGGAGGAAGAAACCAGTCAGGAAGAGCTGCACCCCCAGAGCCTAGACCAGCTGGGGAAAGAAGAAGCAGAAAGCTGGGGGATGGAACACATACAGAGAAACAACTTGAGTGGCAACTCTTCCCAAAATGGAATCTATCACATGCCCAAGTCAAGTGTGCTGGGGTCTCAGGTGCCCAAGAACCTCTAGCCAGTCTGATGTGCACTTCTACAGCAGTGCTCAACAGACAAGTGCTCCCAGTCTGGCTGCCATGGTATCAAGTTACAGCCAGTTGTTCTCCCACTATTAGGATAATCCAGAGAGCTGGACACAAGACACTGCTGTTGCCAGCAATTCTTAATGTGAAAAATTAGGGATGCTCTTCTCCAGTGTAATGATGTATCATGTCACAGAGCTAGAACTTCTGTCCCCTTTCACCTTCTCCCCTGTACCCGTATCTCAGGAAGAGGTGACATTTGGCACGAGGTGATGTATCAGGTTTCTGCCTCTGAACAGGCTGGCCCAACATGGTTTATCTAACCTTCCCCAAAAAGCAGGGACCCCAGAAGTCTGGCCGTTAGTGTCCAGATAGGCATATTGCAACTTGTTCCCAACACACAATGGTCTGCAGGAGAAAGATATGGCTATCAAGTAAAGAAAGCAGAATATAATCGCCAGTGTGAAAGGGGAAGAAGAAATGTAGTTGTTTCTACCTGGTTACAGTCAGTTTGGTTCTGTTGTAGTTTGCTTCCAGATTCCCTTGCTACCTTAGGTTCAGGTGTTGAGGAGAGAGGCTACTAGTGCTTAACTCTGGATAACTACAATAAGAGTTGACACCAGTGTAACTAGGAGAAGGTGTGAAATATTCTAAAATGAGAAGCAGTTGGTGGAGTCCTAGATCTGGGTGTTAGGGAACAAAGTTCTGGTTATATGATTCTAACATGGCTGTTGATGCTAAGAAATATTTGTCATTTATTTTCACACTCTTTAAATTGCATCTCAAGGTTCTTGCACCTTGCAAACTAGCACCCCATTTATGAAGTTTGATGCTTCTTGTTTTTGTTAAGGAAACAAATTTGCAGTTGTGGGTGCTGACACCATTTTTGTTGAAAAATATTGTGAAAATTAGATTAGTGTCAGTTTTTTTACCACACACAAAATACTTATTTTCCAAGCATTTTTCTGTTTGCTGAGGTTTCTCTTTCCTTGTAATTGGTGCAGGCTATTGCTGCTATTACAGGGCCATTGTAAATATATTTCAAATACCTTAATCACTGTTATTCTGCAATATTTAACCTCAAATAGGCTCTGTAGGCTTAAAGCCAGTAGAAATGTGAGTTGTACCAGACCACTGCTAACAGCTCTCATTAGTGCAACACTGTTTAGTGTGCTGTGCAGTGACAGGTTTAGTGGGGACGTTGTGCAGGGGCATCTTGTATTGCCACCTTTTTTAAGATGGATGTGTCACTGTATTCTGGGGAAAGCCTCTGGCAATGTCTGAAGGACCTCAGGATGAGCCCTGTCCTCAGATGGCCCAGGTTTCAGGACTGCCACAGCCACAAGATAGTCCTGGCAAATTGAAGCAGACTGTCATTCAACTACAAGGGCTCAGCAGGAGCTGTGAGAAGGAGCTTGTTGCCCAGCCCACAGGGAGCTTATATTTCAAACAGGAGCTGTGGAGGCAGAACTGCAGGGTCTCATGACTCACTTCCCATCATCAGCTGGTCCTGCTGTTGGGGACAAGTTTATCTGTGAGATATTGCCACGGTTCTTGACTCTCAGTTCCACTGAATTCAGAATTGAGCAAAACATCCTACCTTCAGCTTTTCTGGCTGAAAACAGAACAATGATGTTGCTTACTTCCTCCTCCTCTCTGCATTGAAGCTATTATCTTATAAAGAAGAAAACAGCCTGTCAGGAGAACTTCCTAAAATAGGGTTTTTCCCCCCCTCCAAATTTTAATTAAACAGAAAATTCATATGCTAAATTGTGATTGAACAAAGGAGCTATGTGCTCTATAATGGGCTCAAATAGTGCACACAGCCCTTTGTACTCAATTCATCAGGTCTTTTGTGTTTCAAAAGGCACAGAGAAAGGTTCTTACAAATTAATTTGTAAAACTTTCTTTTAGATCCTGGCTCAAGAGCCGACTACGAGTACCAAGGCATAATTGCAAAGCAAAAAAAAAAAAAAAATTGCTATTCTTCTGAGGTCTCTGGAAGTGTCTGCCTTTTTCATGGACTCAAATTACTGGATGAGATTCTGAGTCTGAATTACTGCACAGATATCAAATGCTTGGGATGCTGCTCTTTTAGGAACTAAGTCTGGCACTTTGGGAGAGATCCAAGTAGCAGTTGTCTGCTTCAGGTGGTTGAACCTGTGCTAATAGCCAGTGTAAGATATGTTGTTGGCTGAGGCTGAGCTTCTTAACCTAGAAATAACTACTGTGAGGGTAACAGGATCCTGAACTCAGGTTCTGCCAAGAAAATTAAGGTAAAACTTATCTGTAAAGCTTGGATTTACAAAGCCTCAGATTTCTCACAAGGGAGAGTGTTGTTTAGCTGCTCTGTTCAACAGAGAAGGTGACTGAGAACCTCCCTTTCTGTATTGCTCAGTGTTTCTTTTCTGTTCCCCTTCTAAGCTGTGCCAAAGCCCGTGCCCAGCCCCTCGGATAACCTCCCACTTAGGCAGGGCTGCTGCAGCCACAGCAGCTCAGTGTAGGAGCCCTGCCTGTCACTGCACACCAGAAGATAACCTTCACCACCCCCTCCTTTCTGCACAGGGACTCCCATAACTATCAGGGAGGGCAGGTGAAGTGCAGAGGTGTGACAGCTGAACTCAGATCCATGGGACAGTGACCAACAGCATCAGACAAGCAGCTCCCAAGCACTGAGTCTGCTCTTCAGGGCAGGAGCAAAATGGTAATGTTCACAAGCAGTGTTTGTTCATGCCTGAAATTTGGGAAGCCAGTTTTCCCCTGCAAAGGAAGGACATGGGAGTCTCCATAAGCCTCTACTGCAGCTGGGAGGGATGTTTGCCTCTCAGGCTGCCTGTCTCTGGTAAATTCAGGAGACTCTAGTCCAGCTTGCCATAGGTCTCCCTTTCTTTCTGGCAAGAACAGCCTGGCAGCTTCTTCTCCCTTGGACTTGGGGCACAGCAGCCAGCCTGCCATGTTGAGGAGCCCTAAACCAGCTCTGGCTGTGATCAGACAAGAACTGCAGGCTATAGTGGTCTCCCAGGCCAGCTCGTTTCCCCATTCCTGGCAGAAAGACCACTTCCCCCTATGGTGTGATTTGAGTAGTGCTAGTGCTTCTCAGTGTAAAACAACTTCTGTTACTGGCATGTGCCTGCATTTATCTCATAGTTCTTGTACATTTTCATGCCAGTGTGCCTTGTCTGTTCTTTGTCCATGCTGTCATGTATATGATGTGTCCTAGAGCAGGCAAGGAAATTACTTGTCCCCAGCATTTGCTTTTGTGCAATTGTCAATTGTGTTTTCAAGCTGGTGGAGTAATAACATCAATACACCAAATGCTAAGTTCATACAGCTTTTCTTTTCAAATACATATTGTCAGGCCTCCCACCAGGAGCTGATATTACTTAGATTATACATGTCTCATGGGTAAAGTAAAGTATTTGTTCCTCAAAACAAGGGTGCATGATTGTGTTTTGCTTCAATCTGTAGAGGCTAGCCTTCCAAACTGCACTGTGCCATCTGTGCCTTGAAGTGGTTAAAATCTTTGGGAAGAGGTTTGGAAAAGCATGGAGTGTTTTGAAGAGATATCAGCAGTTATCACTGTTATTTATGTTGGCGCTAGCAGTGGATGTAGTCTGAGGCCCACTCTGGCAGGTGCTGTGTGTGCTCCTGATTCAAAGCCAAGGGGGAAGGAAGAGGTGTCCTAGCCATGATTTCAAAGTACAGGTGAGGCAGAGAGAGACTCGTGGATGTGTGCAGGGAAGGGCATGGCAGTGATGTCAGAGGAGTCTCAGGCGCCTGGCAATAAACAGCCCCAACCAGCCGTGGCCACAAGCATGGAAAGCTCCTGGTCATGTCTCTTTGCTGTCTCTCCAAGAACATGATGCCAATAGTCTTAACAATGAGCAATCCTAACTTGTCATGTTTAAAAGGAACACAAAAATCCCCTGACGCCCTACAAATACAGCCAAGCTTCTTGTTACCTTATCAGCCTGTTTTGGTTTACCAGTAGATGTCAGTCAGCACTACTCACAACACTTTGCAGCTACAGTCCCTTCTCTTCCGTTTTCAATGGACAGAAACAAATCTGTCCTTTGTTTTACTGAGAAAAACTGAGACACAGAAACATTCCCTTTGTGGTGAGAGAAAAAAAGACAGAGGTAGAATCCATGGATTCCAACAGGTAATTTGTAATATTAGACCCTCACACTTCAGTATTTGTTGCAAGCTTTATCTATCTCAGGCAGGTTATAATTGTCCCTACAAACTGTAAAAAGGGTTTGTACTCATTTGGGGTTTTGCTCATTTTTCTCAGTCTTGTGAGAAGTTCTTAATGAGTGTTATTATTAGCCTGGAGCTGCTGCTTACTGGTCGGTGTTTAGCGCCAAAGATTGTTAGCTGGAGGCTGCCCTCCCTCTGTGTGTTTTACAGACACGCCCTAGCCCACGCCCAGGGAACAGCTATCTGTTGTTCCTAGAGTTTATCAGCAACTATTGCTGATAAACTCCAGTATTCAGAGTTTATCAGCAACTAATGCAAAAGGGAGGGGAATAGCCAGCACCTGATGATACAGCTGATTACAAGCCCGGATGTTGTGCCATCCTTTTGCTGATCACACGAACCCTAATTCCAGGTCTCCAAACATGACAGTAAGGAGCCTGGGAGTGTGAGAGCAGTAAAAGCAGGAGGAATTTCAGTGAGTGCCAGGTCCAGCCCCCATCCCCGGGCTTGGAGGTTAAGGGATATAATGTGAATGTGCCGGGTTTGGGACAGACATGGCACAGTTCAGCGCCTATGGCCCTTTTTTAGAGGTGGCAAATGCCAGGCGTAGCTCACTGCCAGCCAGCCATGCTGTATGTGTGCAGGCGCTCGGGCAGATGACAGGAGGGTGCCAGCCCCGCGGGCTGCGGTGGGATAAAGCCCTGGCTGAGGAGTGCTGAAGGAGGAGTGCAAAAGCTCAGTTGACAAAACAGTGGCTGTTCAGCGATGGGTCTCCAGCCTGAATTAGCCAGCT